GCTCTTCCCTGCCCCACAGCGCCTCCAAGGGGGCGGCCCCTCTTATTAACAGGGGTAATCTGTGCCTCTGGTATTGACGTTGTCTGCCGGCCAATCAAAATATTTGAAGGAAATGTTTATTTTCTTGAGCGAATCGTACCGGCTGCTCGCAAGCCTTTCTGAATGAGGCCATTTATGTGTAAGAATTTGCCATTGTGCGGCACAGAGCCGGACCGCTCACCGAGCCGCCGCTGATTTGGGACTTTGCAAAGGAAGCGGAGGAGATCCAAAAATGGAACAGATCTGACACATGCTGAGCCTGCCTTAGCTTTAGCTGACCTACCTTCCCCCGTCCCCCTCCCCCTCTTCCCTCCACGGTGAGCCTAATTGCCGCAGGAGGTGTGTTCTGGTCCTCTGAGGAACCGGAAGTGTCCACTAATTTATCTCTGAAGTATCTACCAAGAACGAGGACTAAATGCTCATGACTGTGACCGTGGAGGTCGTACGCCCCCTGATCAGTACTTTACGGCGCAGGTTGTTGGCGTCTAATTAGCAGTGAGTATGTAAAGGATCTGGAATCAAACCCACAACCCTCCTGAAGTTATGTTTCTGATTCTGGTGTTTGAGAAAACACCAGAAGAATAACGGCAGTCCAACCGTGTGTAACAGCGTCTCAGACCTAAAACAAACACACCCTGTTTGTGTCAGACCTCTTGCGGTGTGACCCTCCAATGTGAAGCAGGGTCCCACGCGTTGGGCCAGCAGGTCGCTGACCCCACCTCTCCTCGCCCTGACAGCTTGGCCGGACAAGTTAGCGAGTGTCCAGTGCTTCGCAGGTCTGCGCTGCTTCTCCAGTGTCTCGCCTGAAAGACCCAAAAATACCCCGCGCGCACCCAGCAGGCATGTTTTTCCAAGACTGGTCTCACTCTGGTGAGAAAAGCGCCCCTCCTCTTCCCAGTCATCCCTGCGCAGTCAGCAGAGGCCGACCTGTGACAGGAAGACACGGACTCCAAACCACCAGGTGTCAAGACCGTTTTGACAAGTCTGTTATGGAGGCTTTTCTTGGAACTGGCTGTAGATTTCTACGGCAGCCGGTGGCTCCCTCGCCCCCGCACGCTCACACAGTCCACAGTTTATTTTTCATTTCACCAAAAGTGAAATCATTTGCAGCTCGTGTGCTTTTTTTTTTTTTTGTCAGTACGTAGATCTGGGTGTTCACCTTTTTTCCTCGCTCTCTTCACAGCCCTGTGGCAGGATCAAATGGACACCCCCACTCTGAAGACATGCAAGGTGGAGGAGGACCTGAGGCCATGGGCAGGTGAGAAACGGACGTCCTCAACACCTTTACTCTTCTGTTCAGTTCCAACTACGTTTTTAATCTTCAGTTTGACCTTGAACTGAACTTTGAGACTCGTATCTGTCGGTTGTTGGTTTTTTTTTTGGTTTTTTTGTGGAGTCATATTTTGAACCGTGTCAGCAGTTCCTCTTTCTAGTCACCAGGTGGTTATCACATACAGAGGCCATAATTAAGCATGGCCACGAGGCTGAGGCTGAGGCTGAGGCTGAGTCTGAGGCTGAGGCTGAGGCTGAGTCTGAGGCTGAGGCTGAGGCTGAGTCTGAGGCTGAGGCTGAGGCTGAGGCTGAGTCTGAGGCTGAGGCTGAGGCTGAAACTGAGGCTGAGGCTGGGGCTGAGGCTGAGGCTGAGGCTGAAACTGAGGCTGAGGCTGAGGCTGAGTCTGAGGCTGAGGCTGAGGCTGAAACTGAGGCTGAGGCTGGGGCTGAGGCTGAGGCTGAGGCTGAAGCTCAGAACACACTGAGGATTTCAAAACTAATTAATTTTAATTGATGGACTCTTTGACACCTTTGAAAAACAGCAAATACTGAAAAGTGGAGAAGCTGGATAGGCAGGCACGGCCGAGGGCGTGGTGTGGTGTGTGTGTGTGTGTGTGTGTGTGTGTGTGTGCCACTCGTGACAAGTTTAGTGCCCGTTGTGTGTGTGCTGTCACATCCCAGAACATTCCTGGTTCCCCACCCCTCCACCTGTCTCCGTCCTCAGTTTCTTCTCTTCTTCACCTATTGTTTCTTGACGATCTAGAACCCCCCCCCCCCCCCCCCCCCCCCAGCGCTGACAACAGGTATTTAACTGTTCGACAAAATGATGCCAGGAATTCTGATGAGGAGTTTCACTCCACGCAGACGTTCACTGGTGGAAAACACATTATGAAGAGTGAAAAAAAATAAATAAAATGTCACTGATTGACACGATAATTAGCTAAAAGATACGTTGGACGTCTTAAATCTTAACTTGAATTTCCAGTCCATGTGGTACAGATGAAGATGAAGCAGCAGCGCAGACAGATTCTTCTTCCTCCTCTTCTCCTTCTCCTTCTTCTTCCTTCTCCTCTTCTTCTTCTTCCTCTTCTTCATCTTCTTTTTCTTTTCTTTCTTCCTCTTCATCTTCTTTTTCTTCTCCTTCTTCTTCCTCTTCTTCATCGTCTCTTTCTTCCTCTTCTTCTTCTTCTTGTTCTTCTTCTTCATCTTCTTTTTCTTTTCTTTCTTCCTCTTCATCTTCTTTTTCTTCTTTTTCTTCTCCTTCTTCTTCCTCTTCTTCATCGTCTCTTTCTTCCTCTTCTTCTTCTTCTTGTTCTTCTTCTTCATCTTCTTTTTCTTTTCTTTCTTCCTCTTCATCTTCTTTTTCTTCTACTTCTCCTTCTTCTCCTTCCTCTTCCTCTTCTTCTCCTTCTTCTTCTTCCTCTTCTTCTGCTTCTTCCTCTCCTTCTTCTTCTTCTCCTTCTTCTTCTTCATCTTCTTCCTCTTCATCTTCTTCTTCATCTTCTTCTCCTTCTTCTTCTTCCTCTTCTTCATCTTCTCTTTCTTCCTCTTCTTCTTCTTCTTGTTCTTCTTCTTCATCTTCTTTTTCTTTTCTTTCTTCCTCTTCATCTTCTTTTTCTTCTCCTTCTTCTTCCTCTTCTTCATCGTCTCTTTCTTCCTCTTCTTCTTCTTCTTGTTCTTCTTCTTCATCTTCTTTTTCTTTTCTTTCTTCCTCTTCATCTTCTTTTTCTTCTCCTTCTTCTTCTTCTTCTTCCTCTTCATCTTCTTTTTCTTCTACTTCTCCTTCTTCTCCTTCCTCTTCCTCTTCTTCTTCTTCTTCATCTTCTTCTTCTTCCTCTTCTTCTTCTTCTACTTTTTATCTTCTTCTTCTTCAGGCGCGACCAACCATCGTTAGCTTCAACAAATCAGCTCAGAGATTACACTCGACACAGTCAATCACGTTCAGCTCGTTTGCAGAGTCACTCGTTCCTGGAAATCTTCGGTGCAAACGTCGCACACATGCAAAACCCCACATGACAAATTACCAAACAGCTGAGGCGCCGGCGGCCACGGTGTCGCGGCGCAGACTGTGATTGTCATTTGCATTCGACACGATGTTTCGGCCTGCGAGCCCTGCTGCTTAGATAAACAGCCCGTGGTCATTTGTGTTCATTTGGATCTTCTCTTCTTTGGCCTGTAGAGCGCGTTACGCTGTCATGTCATTATTGTTACCGATCCTGCGAACGCACGCTCATGGCAGCCGTTCAAAACGTCCCGTCAGTAAATCACAAATGTTATTAAATGCTGAAAGGAGTTTTCAAATAACAAAACAACAACAAAATAACAAACAACCGAGTGCCGTACGAGCCCCCGAGGCTTCGCTCCTCGCTCTCCTCCTTCCCTCCGCTCATTTGCCTGAGACGCCATTCCCCGGGCGCTGGCCGTCACGGTTTGCATCAAGCTTGAGTAAACATTTCACAGGTGAGCGCCTGGATTTGCATCTCCCCATTGCCAGCCACCACATGTGGACACACAAACACATTACCCTGCGCACCATTACAAACACAAGGCGGCCTGTGACACGCCCCGGGGTCAACAACAAAATCAGTTTCTCCCGTAATCAAATGAGGCACAGCGTCGCTCCTACCTATGGTTACACGCTTGACTGTGGACTAGTGGACTTCAGCTGCTAAGCAAAAAGGTGGACAAAGTATTGACCAGAGGAAACCTCAGGTGTAGAGTAGACGTGCAGCGAGCGCTGTCTCAGAGAGACTTTATTTTCTTTATCCGTCCAGGATCAATCAATCATCGAAACACAGAAAGTGATTGAAGTGTAGGGTTTTTTTTGTTTGTTTTTTTTTGGTAAAATTGTTGCAATGTTTTTATAATATGCTAATTCCATGGTGTAGGGGTTAGCACACCTGCCTTGCAAGCAGAAAGTCCTGGGTTTGATTCCCACAGGAACCACATATCCGTAAAGGCACCTTTCATACTGCGGCCTGTACTTAATGGCGCCTCCGGTGGCAGCCTGTGTCTGTTGCAAAAACTCTCCATATTGGGCCGCATAAGAGTCAATTTTTTTTAAAAATAATTATTTAAAATATCCTGCTAACGGGATCTTAGCGCCGTAGCACCCAGGCTAGGACAACTTTAGCTTAGCTGCGCTAACGGGACCTTAGCGCCGTAGCACTCAGGCTAGGACAACTTTAGCTTAGCTGCTGGAGGTTGGTTCTACAGATCAAGTCAACATCTTCATGGTGGAAAACTAAACTGTTACTTTTGTTTGTTAAAGTTGACTGCGTTAAGTTACTGAGGACAGTTTTCCTGTCGGTGAAAAGGAACAGTTCAGTCTTTGTGTTTACCAACAACTTCCTTCAGACACTACCTTTAAGGAAGAGTGGTTGAGGAGCAGTCAGTGTTGGAACACTGTGTTCCCTATAAAAAAAAAAAAAAACGCCCAGATTCCCAGCTCAGCGCTTCATGGACTAGGAATATCTCAGACAGCAGACCGTGCCAGCTCACCCTCTGGGGTCCATCCTCCCCTCCTGTCCTTGCAATTTAGTCAACACGTTTCAGATGAGCCTAATTGAGATCATGTGTGGTTTCAGGCCGCAGAGATTACAGTTACAGCTACTACCAGGTTCAGCGAGGAAGACCCTCTGTGCCAAAGACATGCCGCTGTTACCGCAGCCGTCACAGCGAAGACTGTACTTACAGTGGGCGGGGGAGG